TATATATATATATATGAGTGGTTTGCTACATGTATATAAGTGCACCCATGTATGCACTGCCTGTGAAAGCCAGAAGAGGCTGTCAGATTCCCCGGAACTGGAGTTACAGACCATTGTTAGCTGTCGTGGGCATGCTGGGATCAAACTCTGATCCTTTGCAAGAGCAGCAAGTGCTCTTAACCACTGAGTCATCTCTCCAGCCCAAGAAGTCATTTTGAAAGGAATAAATTTAAATAGCAAGTATATGATAGCAATGTTCAAAATCAGTAATCATCAGCGAAGTACAAATTAAAACCACAATGACATATCACTTCAATCTTACTATTGCCAAAAAAGGCTACAGATAATCCACCATAGCCAAGATGTGGAGTAAAGGGAAAGCTTGCATACAGTGGCAAATTAAAACCACAATGACATATCACTTCAATCTTACTATTGCCAAAAAAGACTACAGATAATCCCCATAGCCAAGATGTGGAGTAAAGGGAAAGCTTGCATACAGTGAGTGGGAATGTAAGTTTGTTCCTCTATAATGGGCAAAAGATAGTTCAAAATATTAAAAATAGGACTAGCTTTTGATATCACAGTCACAGTGTTGGATATGTATCCAGCATATTCAATAGATGTTAAATGAATGCGTCATAAATGAGGCAGTTTGAAACCAAGTTCACAATGACCAAGAAATGGAAGCATGGTAAGTGTATAAAGAAAATGTGGCATGTATGCATTAGGGAAGAGTATTTAGTCATAAACAAAGTCCCATGATTTGCAGCAATGTGGATGAACTAGAGATTATGATGCTAAATGAAATAAGCCAGGGACAGAAAAATAAATTTTATAGCAATACACTTATGGGTGGAATCTAAAAGAAATCTTAAGAAATAAAATCGTAAGAAATAAAGCACTTAGCTGAGTGTGGTGGCATATACCTTTAATCCCATCACTTGGGAAGCAAAGGTAGGTGGGTCTCGGTGAGACTGAGGCCAGTCTGGTCTGAGTAGAACTTCCAGACCAGCTTGGGTTATAGGGAAGAATTAATCAATGCTTGCTGAGCTGACTTAGACAGAACTGAAAATTTCCTATGTGCTATTGATGGTTGTATATAGTAATAATGATAACACATCAAAAGGTAGGATTTTGAACATTTTACCATAAAAGTGATGTTTGAGAAGAGTGATATAATTGCCCTGATTTGTAACAATACAGAGTTTACAGTTATCAAAATATCTTTCACAATCTAAATGAAATAAGCCAGGGACAGAAAAATAAATTTTATAGCAATACACTTATGGGTGGAATCTAAAAGAAATCTTAAGAAATAAAGCACTTAGCTGAGTGTGGTGGCATACACCTTTAATCCCATCACTTGGAAAGCAAAGGTAGGTGGATCTCCGTGAGATTGAGGCCAATCTGGCCTGAGTAGAACTTCCAGGCCAGCTTGGGTTATAGGGAAGAATTAATCAATGCTTGCTGAGCTGACTTAGACAGAACTGAAAATTTCCCATGTGCTATTGATGGTTGTATATAGTAATAATGATAACACATCAAACGGTAGGATTTTGAACATTTTGCCATAAAAATGATGTTTGAGAAGAGTGATATAATTGCCCTGGTTTGTAACAATACAGAGTTTACAGTTATCAAAATATCTTTCACAATTTTTTATGTTAATTGGAAAACATCAGAATTTCCTTAAGCATCAAAGGGTAACTTTTTAAGGAACACTGGATCAGATAGCTCTTCAGCTAAAGAAGAAGAGTACAGATCAGTCTTCAGAAAACTTCACACTGTGGTAAGTGTTCAGGGAAGTGGGGAGTCATGGAGCAGCAAGCATTTGGGGTGTACTGGGAAACTGGAAACAATATACACACTGTGTGGTCAGTAATATGTAGGCTAAAGAGGGCAGTCTACCTGATCATTTCAAACTTTGGGGTGGGAGCTTGAGTTTTCATGCCTAGCCATAAATTCCTATTCCAATAATGTAATCAGTGGTCTTTTTGCTCACTGAGGATGAGAGGGAAAGGTAAGCAGAAAAAAATGTAGATAAGTGTGTGGCAAGTTGAAAATTGTGGAAACGTAGAGCATGCTTTAATGCTTAATTTAAAGGATTCCTTTATTAAATGATCAATTTAAAGATATCAAAATTTAAAAAAACTTACTACAGAGTCCATCTTCACAGTTACGTGGACAGTCTCCACAGGGTGGGCCCTTCTGATAAGGTACATTTTCTGTGTCAGGATCATTTCCCCTTTAAAAAAGAATAAACAAAACATAAAGGTCAATAAGTCCTATCACTGGAAAATGATCATAAGTTTTATACACTATTTACAACTAAATTTCAAAATAAATTATGTAAACAGGCTTGCAAATGACAGTGCCAATATTTAAGATGGATGTGAGATATGGATTTATGCATATGAGTATTTCTTTACACTAACCACAAGCAATTCTGGGTGTCATAAGAATATTGTTTGTGAAGGCCTACCAGTACTCAAGATCTTTGGATAGTCAAGTTCTAGAAAGTAGGACTTCATAATTGGGTGCTATTCTTCATTAATGCACAAAAGAACTTGGGAAACTGTTGTGGGGAAAGGATATGATTCTTACAGTTCTTAATAATATCCGGGACATTTAGCTCACCCGCTCTCTCTCTTCTTCCTTCCTTCCTTCCTTCCTTCCTTCCTTCCTTCCTTCCTTTTCCTTTCTTTTTTTAAATTTAATTTGGGAAGGATCTCCTTAGCCCTAGCCTGCCTGGAGCTCACAATGTAGACTACTACGCTGGCCTCTATCTCACAGTGATCCTCCTGTTATTAAAGGCATGGGCTACCATTCTCATCGTGGTTCTTGATAGTACTAAGAAAAGAAAATACCCAGCCAACCAACCAACCAACCAAACAAACAAACAAACAACAAAACACCAAAAATGGGGCTGACGAGATGGCTCAGCAGTAAAGAGTACTGACTGCTCTAGCAGAGGACCTGGGTTCGATTCCCAGCACCCACATGGTGGTTAACAGCTCTTCACAACTCCATTCCGGAGGGAACCAACACCTTCTTCTGGCCTCTGTGGCCACTGTTCACATGGGTGCACTTGCATACAGGCAGGCAAAATACTCATACACATAAAACATTTTTAAATTAAAAAATAGCAAGTGATTTGAATTAAAACTTATTTAATTTATTTGACACTGTGCATTGAGAAACATGATGCCTTTTATTATCTCTATGGTAAGTATGCGCTTATGAATGAATAAGGTACTCCCACATGGATAAAACTAAAGAAAGTACTAGGGTGTGTGAAACAGCAGAGATGAAAATGTCCAGTTCCAGAATATTTGAAATTTCAGAAAATACAATTCTTATCTGCCAACGTCTAAATCACAATGTATATAATATGTAATTATTAACTAATTCCACTTCAAAGGAGTAAATGTTCTGCTTAAAAAGTTTTTTAAATTGATATTTATCTCCAGACTACTAAGTTTGAATCTGAAGCTGAAAGTGATCTGTTGTCAAATTATATAGGAAAAAATTACCAATAAATTTTAACTAACTAAATCAACACATCATGGGATCTATTCACACAGATCTATTGTAAGAATATGATCTGTTTTTTGAGCATACCATGGTACTGGATGCCATGTTGATATAGTGATATATGAGATATGTTGATATATGTTGATATATTGATCATGTTCACTGACATACTAGATATTTTATTATGCTGCCCACGTGCACATGGAGATGGTGGTTAAGGACCATGCTTGGAGCTGACGTTATGAATATAAAATTTGTGAAAATACATACAGTTGAAAAAAACACTACAAAACAAAGCAGGAGGAGCTGTGATCAACTTTTATCAGAAATAGGGATTTTTAGTTGGTAATTGTATCCAAATATCCTAGGACTATATCCAGATCTGAAGAGAACTTTTTCTGTTCACCATCACCCGAGTCACACAGGTGGCTCCTGAAATCATCCTCATGGTACTTGATCCAACTTTGTAACTACATCTAATAGAACGAGGACATACACCTGCCCCTCCCTGAAGCAATTAGATTGGTATTCTAAAGTGTGTAATCAGCACTTGTGATGCAGTTGTAATATGCAAATTTAATTACTTTTGGAAAGATTTATTTTACATGTGTGTCTGTGTATACATGTATAAATGTGGTGGTGGAGGCTAGTAGAGGGCACTGGATCCCTGGAGCTGGAGGTCCAGGTGGTTGTGAGCTGTGCTGCATGAGAACAGGGCACTGGCTGTTGTCCTCTGCAAGAGCACCAAGTGCTCCAACCCTCTGCGTCATTTCTCTGGCCCCGTATAAATTTAATTTCTAAATAAAGTACTTATATCAACCTTTGAACTAGACAGCTACCACTGGGAATAATGCTTGTCTTTTTCCTTTGCTCTCTTCTTGAGTCTTCACTGCAAATTCTCCTCTTGAGTACTGAGGTTAAGCTTAGCTTGTTTAAACAAGCATCCTTGTTTCTCTACTTACAGGAGTTCAAATTCACTACCCTATGTGATAATAACCTTGTCAGTGATATAACGAGGCCACTAATAAGTTGTCTGAAATTTTCTCTTAATCATATATACATTAATTTGGTCAAAATGTGGTGAAAAAACAGGGCTGTGGGTATATTTGTTATCCCTATAGATCTGTGCAATTAGACAAAAATGGATGTCCATTTATAAAGTTTGAAAAATTAGATGATTATTTAGGAAGTTAATATATTCGGAAATGATAATAATCAACATTACATACTCATGACAGTAGTGACAGACGTAGAGATATTTAGCTGCCTTATCTCTGCGACATGATGCAACATCACAGCCAATCAGGTAGGAAGGGGCCCAGACCAACTGTAAAGATGAGATTATTTTATTGCAGATATTATAGTTCACTAACGATTACAGTATCAGTATCATTATCATGAATAAAATAAACTTGCTGAGGCTAGAGAGATAGCTTATCAGTTAAGGCATGTTTGCTGCTCTTTCAGAGGACCTGAGTTAGATTTCTAGCACTTACACTGGGTAGCTCACAACCACCTGTAACTCCAGTTTCATGGGATCCGATGCTCTCTTCTGACCTCTGTGGACATCTGTGTGTACACACAGAGACTTACACCTACTCACAAAAATCTTATATTAAAAAGGTAAGCATACTTTTGGTTTTGCTTTCATTGTGAAAGAAAGACAAATAGCTCATATTTAGGTCATTTTATTGGAACAAAAATCTGCTTATGAGTTCTCAGTAAGAAACATGAGTGGCTGTCATACACTTTAGCTCACTCTGGCCTTCATGCCAAATCTATGTGGTGAATCAATTAATATGATGAAGCCTTCTTACACAAATATCAAACCAGGGAAGATTATTATTGGTCAGGGGCAACAGGCAATACTCAAAACTTTTCATTGCAAAAGAAACCAGATTTAAGTTCCATCTCTGTTACTTCCAACCTGGGTGGTTTCTAGCAGTTTGATTAGAGTTTCAGTTTATTTAAAAATCTGTAAAACAGGGTATAATAATGCTATCCTTTACATACAAGTGTATGTGGGGATTACATAATAAAATATTTAAGTGTCTAGTCAATGAGATGACAGTGATAGCCAGTGTACTTAGTCCCTTTGAACACCTTGGCAGGATGCTGAAAAAACTTTCCCTCAGCTAGCACTGGACGTTTTACCGATGTTTGTATTCCTGCTTTTAATCACCATGGTTTGCTGTGACTCCTTTTTGAAAGCATATTACTTTCTCTTCACAGAGGGAGGCTTTAATGGATGTCAGCCTCTCTTCACATCATATAGCTTTTAATTTTCTACCACTAATAAGGATACACTTTCAGCAACTCTGCTGCTCTAGCCACTGTGCAAATGTTTAACCATGTAGATCCAGTGTTTAACCATGTAGATCCAATGTTTAACCATACAGATCCAAATGTTTAAACATGTAGGTCCAAATGTTTAACCATGTAGATCCAAATGTTTCATCATGTAGAGCCAACGTTTGCAGGTGTCTGTTCATATTATTTCTAACAAATGTGTATTTGCTTTAAGAAATTTTATTGAACTCAGAGTATTATGGAGTATATATTTAGAAAATATTTTTATAATTAAAACACAACAGGTCTGGACATGGAGGCCTATGCCTTTAATGTCAGCACTGGAGAGGCAGAAGCAGGTAAACTCTGTGATAAGGAGGCCAGTTTGGTCTACATAGTGAGTTCCAAGCTAGATGAGACTACAGGCAGGCCCTGTCTCATCCCCCCCAATATATATATATATATATAATATCACTCCTACCATATTCTTACTATATTAATAGCAGTAAAATGATTGGGTATAATTAATTTGCCTTTATTCACGCTGTATCCAAGAAAAGGCATACATAACGATAAACCCTTTTTCCATTAGGATTTTCAAGCAGAGATAATGTTGAAGAAATGACTTATTGTATGAAATAGTTCTATGAACATATTAATTCATCTGCACAGTGCTACAGACAATTTGAAAATGATGATATTTTGTACTCTCAAACTTTATGTAAATAAAGGTCACTTTCTTTGATTTAGTTTTCTTAGTTTCTTGGAAACTTGCAATGAGAGATACCATTTTTAAATTTTTTATTTTATTTATTACTTTTAATTTATATGTGTATGAGTGTATTGCCTGCATGTATCTAAGTGCACCCGTGTTGTGCAATGCCCAAGGAGGACAGAAAGGGCATTGAATTCCCTGAACTGGAGTTATGGATGGTTGCTAACCACCATGTGGTTGCTGGAAATCCAACCTAGGTCCTCTGCAAGAGCAGCCAGTGCTCTTAACTGCTGAGCCATCTCTCTAGCGCCCGAGATACCATTTTTATAAACATACTTTAAAGGATATTGAACTTATTTGGCAAGAGAATATGAAGATCTATTCAAGAAGATGGACCCCGCTGTTGTATGGGAGTTACACAGCCAGAACTTTTATGACAGAATCAGCAGATCAGACTGACTTTGATGAAAAAGAATTACAAGGTAGGAGTGGATGTCATGAAGTTGTACAGGTTCTTTCCTTTCTTAGGCACTTATTCTGTTGGTGTTTTCTAATAATTTGGTATCATAAATTATATGATTGAATACACAAGTAGCAAGATATTCTTGAGTTCTTGGTGCATACCATTTGCGTTCAAGTGTATTGATCTTGAAGGAAGTATATTGTTTACTACTGTTTAATAATTTTGCATTAACATTTATAACTGATTATTTTTTTTTGAGGCAGTGTCTCACTATGAAGCCATAGCTGGCCTAGAACTCACTATGTTGACCAGGCTGGCCTCAAACACATACAGATCTGCCTGTCTCACCTCCCAAGTGCTGAATTATAGGCATGCACCACCATATCCATCCATAACTAATTAATTTATGCTTTGTCTTTGGGAACTTTTAACATCAATTTTATGTAGGATTTGTTTTATGTAAAGTCTATGAAACTTACCAATAAATTCTCCTGAGTTTTCTGCTTTGTGGACAGTAACTATTTTCAACTTCTTTGTATTTTTCCATTTATAATATTTCAATGTTCTGCTCCCTAGTTTCCCCCTTCTGAAATGTAAATGTCTATCCATTGCCTCCCCTGTCATTATATTTTAGAAACATATAATCCTTGTTTTATAGATACATTGCTGGAGAGGGATTTTTCAGATGAACATCTTGAGTGGAAAAGAAGTGTATCCAACCTCCAACTCCTCAGGAAAAAAGAAAACCTGTCTGGCTTTTCTGTTGCTATTGCTTAAGGCGGTTCTAATTTTGGCCTATGTAATTGTTCATTTCCTGACTTGTTTCTTCGCTTCCCCCCCTTTTTCTATCTTATTCTTTCTATCAATTAATTATTAATCCATTTAACTTTATTAATTTTAAACTTAGGGTTTTCCTAAGTATCCAAGCGATTTTCTTTTCTAGAGTTATGAATATAGTATTGTTTGCGGTGGTTTCTTACTAGATTTAAATATCTTATTTGTTTTTATTATTACTCTCTGATTTCTGTTCTCTGAGTGTTTGTGGCAACTGAAACACCAAGTGATAACAGCCCTCTAACAAAGTCTTAAACAGGTATCTCTCCAGACAGATGAGCACGCCACACTGCGTAAATAGAAAAACAAATTTAAATCAAGCATGATCCATGTAAAATTTATAATTTTCAATAACAGATCCAGAAGAATCCAATGGAATTTTGAATTGTTGAAATATTGGACAATAATTTCAAATGTTTAACATGTAAAATTGATAAATACCCTCAGTAAAGATTCAAGTATATTACTAAGGGAAGTAGGAATTCAGTTCAAGACTTGTATGAGAAGATAGTAACATGGACAAGAAATTTATCAAGAAAATTGAGTTTCAGAAAAAGTCAGATTTGGGGAAGTGAACAACCCAGTTAATCAAAATCTCCATGAAAATTTCATTAAATAGTAGATCAAATAGAAGAACCCATCTTAGGGATTACAGGCCAGCTCTGGGAATTATCACATTCAGACAGCAATAAAGAAAAGCGAATTGCAGGTCACGGTGGCACAGACATTTAGTCCCAGCACTCTAGAGGCAGAGGCAACTGGATTTCTGAGAGATCAAGGCCAGCCTGGTCTACATAGCCAGGTCCAGGTCAGCCGGGGTTACAGGGAGACCCCGTATCAACTCCCCCACTCTTGCTCAAAAATAGAGAGGGAATATAAGCAGGGGTAGGGTTTCTGGGAAGGAAAAATATCTTTCAGGCCGCTGGTCAGCTAGACTAGCTGGAATCAGTGAGCTCCGGGTTCAGTGAGAGGCCTTGTCTCAATAAGTAAAGTATAGAGCGACTGAGAAAGACAGCCAGCGTCAACTTCAGACCTTGATAAGCATAAGCACGCATGTAAACATTCAATCCTTCCATGCATGTGTGCCTACACATATGCAAAGCCTGCTCACTCCCAGGCATACACACCATATACACATATGCACACAAATAAAGTTAAAATAAGCAAAATAGAAGACAATACTATGTTATGTGAAAAGAGATAGAAAAAGACAGTGGTTTCAATGATTTGAGTAATTAAATCACAGGAAGAATGAAGAAGAGCCTATTGTATTTACTCTTTATAGATGGTAAAATATTGATTTAAAAATGAGATTGAGGCTTATGATTCTGGAACTTTCTGCAAAATCAAATGAATAAAAAACAGTATCAGTTGATTAGGTTTCTTTTCTAAACCATACACTGAGGGAACTGGACTGCAATTCCTTCAGTTCCTTCCTCATCTTTGACCCACACATTCTGATAGTCTTGTGCAAATTTGCCAGGATACAGATCACCTGAGTATAATGTTCAGTTTCTAAGTCATTATCTTTGAATGGCCATTGTCCATATTTGAAGTTTTTGGATTCATTGTACCACACTGTAATAACATGTTCCCACGAGGCAGGGTAGCTGTCCGAATACATGTTCTCTCCACAAAATGTATCTGAAATGAAGAAACACAGCTGGATAATACTCCTTAAAAGTTGAAATATGGAGATTTTCCTCATTTTTATTTCACAAACATTTCCATGATCATCTAGGTATCATTTTATGGCAGGAAATAATCTCAGGTGTTTCTTTGCTGGCAATTTTCCTTCCAGATGTTGAATGTGCATGTGGAACTCAAGTGTGATGAGGAATTGGCAATAAGAGATGACAAACAAGCTTTAAAAGTGATATCCACAGACATCTTATAAGGTAATGGAGAGAGATGAAACCCAGCAAAAGCACCTGAGACCTATAATTTGATACTGGGTTTGAATGTAGTTACACAAAAGGGTACACATTCCGAGAAGACCTCTACCTTCATGATACAGGCTCTAGATGGGATATGCATAGAGAATTAATCTGCCTTTCTTGAGGATGGAAACACCTTCATTGCTAATTCACTGTACAACCACAGTGGGCCAAGATTTCCAAGCATCTATAAGCATGAAGTTGTTATTTGTACTTTTAAACTATTTTCTACATAAAGTATAAATTTTTATTTATTATTTTTATTATTTTATGTGTATGAGTGTATTGCCTGCATGTATGTAAGTGTATCTGTGCTGTACAATGCCCGTGGAGGTCTGAAGAGGGCATCGGAGTCCCTGTTACGGATGGTTGTTAGCCACCACATGGGTGCTGGGAACTGAACCTGTGTCCTCTGCAAAAGTAGCCAGTGCTCTTAACTGCCGAGTCATCTCTGCAGTCCCCTAAAGCATCCTTTAAAATGTTATCTGTGTTTAATTATGTAGGATGTACAAAAATTGATTAATAATCATTTAATTCATATGATAAAAACAAGCTCATTTTTAGACAACTAAAAGTGCTTGTACATGTAGCTTAACAGAGTTGCTTATAAGTCATTTCTTAGTTGAGTTCATGTCTCAGAGCTGAAGAAATTCTGACAGTCATGTGAGTAGCTGAGATAACTTAGAATGTAAGCCATCTCGGTATTTAGCTGTATTCAACTCATCGATATAATGCTGCTATTGATTCTTATCTCTTGCTAATCAGAGCTTAGACTCTGAAAAGTAGAATAACCAAATTTTACTTTTTTAATAATTGAATTGTGCTTCTATATGTTCAAGTGTTTTGCCTACATGTAAGTGCGCAACTGAGAGCAATGCCCGTGGAGGCCAGAAGAGGGAGCCAGATCCCCTAGAACTAGAGTTATGAACAATTGTTAATTGACATGTGCTTGCTGGGAACTGAGCCCAGGTAGTTTGCAAGAGCAGCCAGTAATCTTAAACCTCTGAGCCATCTCTCCAGCCCACTAGAAATACCCAAATTTTAAACATTCAAAACAATTATACAGTACATTAAACTATAGCTTACTGCCCAGTACAGGCAAGTGTCAATGTAGCCTGTTGAATTAAATTGCTCTTCTGAAGTTGCTTAGCAAGCCATGGGTTTTTAAAGATAGGTTTATTCATTAAAATTTTATTTGATCATTTGGTTATTTATTTATTTATAGCTGGCTTAGGTCTAAATATTGTACCACAAGGGCTCACGCGTTGAAGATTTGCTCTCCAGATGGAGGTGCTAGTGAGAGGCTGTGGAAACTTTGAGAAGTGGGTTAGGTAACATGAATGAATTCCTGTCAAGAACATGCTTCTTCTCTTGACCTTTTTCTTTTTTCCTAATTTTTGAAATGAGGCGAGAAGCTTCCTCCAGTACACACTCTCATGGTATTTTGCCTCAATTCAGTCCCATATCAATTGAATGAACAAACCATGAACTGAACTTTTTGAACCTGTGAGCTGAAAATAGATCTTTCCTCTTTAAAGTTGCTTTTCCCAGATGTTCAGTGCCAGCACTGGGAAGCTGATCAATACAAGCTGAGTCATATAGAAACATACATACTTTTAAGTCTCCTCTCAAGTGAGTTGCTCTTTGACAAGTCACAATACCTTGCCACGATTCTGTCATTTTCTGCAGCATCTGGACTCCAAGTCTGTGGGGCAAGAAAAATCCAAACACGTGATATAATTAGCATTTTTATCTTAAGATTTTAGCTTACCACCTCTAAAAATCCAAGATTTACAATGTGTTCTGTTGTATGAACTAAAATTTTACATAATTATATATTTTTAAACATTCTAGTAGGAAAAAGGAGATAAAATTATAATGCATCGCATTAACTTACAAATTTACAAATTCAAAACCTAGGTGATAATGTTCAGACCATAAATTGTTTTCTAGAATTTAAGCGAATAATCCCAGGAAAAGAATTTAGCATTAGAAATCCAGTCTAATAATTTGTTAATTGCTTGACCTTGGACGTGTCATTTCATTTCTTCGAGTTCTAAGTCACAGCAAAAGTTTTGTTCAAAAGGCTTAGCATGAAATTCTTACAAGAAGCCTGTGATGCTGGGTCTTAATGCTGTCTGCTAAGTACACAAATGGCTACTGTGAATGGAAGCCACAGAGCCATGCATCTCGTCTCCAATTACATCTAAAATCAAGCAGTAGCTGATGCCACTAGACTCAGTTATCAATGTCATGTGTATGTTTCTTGCTTTATCTTACAGGACCTAAAGTGAGGGTAGTGATGTTTTCTCTGTATGTGAGGTAAGTGGGACATAGGTTTTGGCAAGCTTTAAGGACCATGGCAGAAAGAATTTGGATCAATTACTCAAGTATGCTCTGAACTCTTAGCATGGGTCAAGTGAATTTAATGTGTACCAGGTTGAAGTAGTTTATTATTTGCAGCTCAGCAACAGATATTCTTTTAACCATTAAAAAAAATTATGTGTATTAGTACTTCATCTGCCTGTAAGTGTGCAATTTTGGCAGAGGCCGGAAGAGGCCATCAGATTTTCTGCACCTGGAGTTATGGACAGTTGTTAGCTGTCATATAAATTCTAGGATCTGAACCCAGGTTTTCTATAAGAGAAACTGGTATTCTTTACCATGGAACCCTCTCTACAGTCCAACAGCAGCTGCTGTTCTTGGGGTGAGGTATAATGCAGACTGTTCAGTAGGTGTTACACTGTGACAACCTCCCAACAGGCATCCTCACCACCAATTCATACCACATGTAACACATTGCGGAGAAAATTGGTAGAATTTACATGTTTTGGTCCTGGGCTTTTAAGGAAATCATTCATCTCCTGGCTAATGTAGATGACAATCAGATTATCAATGTTGTCAAGGGCATGGAAAGATCTTAGCTGTTAACGTATGTATATGCTGCCATCGTGTGGCAATTTCATAGAATTACTCTTCAGGTTAAACTTATTCAAAGATGAAATAACTGCTTTAGTTTGACATTCAAAGCATGGTTTTACATATTTCAATTGCTTCATGCAAGAAAAGAGATTTTTTTCCATGTCTGTACCTAACCGAATGAATTGAGATGACTGGAGGTCGCTTTTTCTCTGCGATAGACGTCGGAATTCAGAGACCTTGTTTCTGTCATTGTTCAACATGTTTTGAGCCCCCTAGCTGTTATTATCTACTCACCAGACAGAAAGGAGTTTGGATATCATTTTGATCTAAGAGAACTAGGTAATTAAGAGCAGCGTCCTAGGAGCTGCCCCCTTGCAATTAAATCTCAGCTCTAGCACTTACAATTTTGAATAATTAATTTTCTTGAGACTCTATGATATAATCTTTAAAACAGAGATTGCTATATTGAGGAATTAAATAAATTTAGCAAAGTATAAGAATTATTTTTCTGAACCTCACTCAGTAGTCTGGTTGGGCTACACAGTGTGTAACCTGGGTTGGGCTACACAATAATCCTCCTGCCTCAGCCTGGGACTCATCCTGAATACTGGCTGGGATTCCAGCCATGAACAACCATGCTTGGCTGAAGAAAGTTTATTAATAATTACATCATATGTATATTAGCTATAATGTAATGCACATCTACTTATGGAAACTAATCATTTTAAAACAAATAATACATTCCATTTTAAGGTGATTCAGTGATATTTTCAAAAGCCATTTTTCTTTTTTCCTTGTTTCTTCCTCTTGATCATTTACAGGAGAATATCATCCACCAGACTCACCTTCTAGGGTAGCATTATTCCTAGCCGTTGTTACTCTTGCCTAGTCCTGGGTCCAAGGACTCAGGCTAAAGTCCCTAAATTTTGTCTTGTAGTAGAACACGCCAGTTTTGTATGCAAAGACCATTTATCTAAACTTTTATGGACTGCAGTGCAACTGCTTCACAGACTTGCAGTATTTGTTTACCTGGCGGCCTCAACTGACTTTGAATTTGGACATTCTACCACTCAAATGAATGTGTTACACTCTAAAAAATTCTGCCAGTGAACATAGTTGTGCAGTATCTGGATCATTTCTTAGTGGAAGCTCAATGCTTCAGACTAGCATCCGCTAGGAGCTAGCAAGATCTCTGTGTGAGGCATCCTGAATCATAATATCAGAGAATGGGGCTGGGAAAAATGCCTCCCCAAGCACTTCAGGTTGTTTTCAAGTTATGATTTCATATACATTCATGTGTATTAAGGTACATAAAAGCAAAACTGGGCTAGCTGAGGGAGAATTATTGATTCTTGATGAATTACTTACATCCTCTTGGACTCTGTTTCTTCTGGTGTTATAAGTTGGTTGGGACAACCAAACTTTTAGTTTACTAGGAGTTCATAGAACTTAGTAACAACTGAAGGAAAACCATTAGAGATATTGTCCTCGCTGGTAATGCTGTGACTTAAACCTACCATCTTCACCATGTTCCTGGCTGATGGGATGACGTTTCTCCTGAAGGCATTGTGTAGATTGACAATTTCTTCCTGTACATCTGTTTGTGATTCAGTGGTCAGCTTACTATAGAGGGCTCTAGCTGCTTGGAGCTGTTACAAGATAATTCTTAATTAATATTGCTTCTCTTAAGTGGCACTTATCACATAAAGTACATTAACAAGAGAGCTATAGGCAACGTGAAATTATAGTTTATATTGAATAAACAGTATCTAGCATTTGAGAATTTACAGTATGCAAGTTTTAAGGATTTCTGAATTCTAGTCTTCAAAGTAGTGCACAAACTATACTGAAAATCAATGATTTTCAGATTTATGATTCATACTTAGGGCTATGTTGGAGCTCTTTCTAGTGAAGACTAGGAACCATGGTGATCATGGTTAAAAACAACCTCCTTACTGACTGACTTGCTGTCTTGTTTCCCTTCCATTCTCTGCAGACATTCTCTGTACTTTCCACATAAACGATGTATAGTTGAATCTTTGCCTAATTATGTATCTGGAAGAACCAAAATTAAGAAATTCATTAACAAGTGTGCTGCCTCAGTGTTCCCTCCAGTTCCACATCTTTTGTTTACATGAGAAAACATCAACGTCTGCAAGTGTATGCATAGCGAAGCATAAAGTGAAATTCAAACTCTGCCTACAGCTTAGAATGTGTGACTCTTATTTCCCGTACCTCTTGTTTTGCAACTCACTAAGAAAGGAAAAATTCTTTACTCCCCTGAAAACCTTATTTCAGTAAAATGTATAACGGTTGTTTCTCTTAATTCATCCTTGACCATTTACAACCTCTGCAATGGTTTCTTTTGACATTCTAACTTATTTAAGGAAACTGAGTCTCCTAAAACAATTGATCCTATTCATGCAGATTTCTGTGTTTAACTCAATGGACTGGCAGCCACATGTCTGCCTGGAAATCCTTGAGCATTTAGCTCTGAGTTTTTAACATGTAATACTGACACTTTCTTTCCTATGGCAACCTGGGCTACACTATATCCCAAGATTGAACTGAAGCATCCTAGCCTACGTACTACTAGGCCTAGAAAGCAAATATCTGTTTCTGGCTATCTGCCTTTCTTCATTCCTTTTAAACGGAGGCTATGTTTCAGGCAAGCTTTTCTCTTCGTGCAGTGAGAACTATGTCCATTGGGGCTGAAGAGATGGCTCGGCAGTTAAGAGCATTGGATGCTTTTGCAGAGGACCTGGATTCAGTTCCCAACACCCACATGGTGGCTAATAACAATTCATAACTCCAGTTCCAGGGCATTCAATGCCCTCTTCTGATCTCCATGGGCATTCCATGACATGAATGCACTTGCATACATGCAGGCAATACACTCATACACATAAAATAAAAAAAAATAAAAATATTTTTAAAAAGAAATATGTCCTCCCATATCAGAGGAATAAAAAGAGCAGAAAATCAGAGTGAAGGGAGGAGAAATCTTCTTTGAGAATTTGTTCCACTTCCCAGAGGGTTACTGAGTCATGAACATCAGATTCATAGAGGAGGACAATACCATATGACACTAATCCACAATTCTGGTAGCTGAGGACATACAGATTTTCTGTCAACAATATTAAGTGATTTTCCCTTTTGGCTTCTCTTACGTGGCCTATGTGAAACACATACATACAAACATATGCACACTGTTTCCTATAACAAAGCTGTTGATTTCGGCTCATCACAAAAGTAATTGGGGTAAATTAAATCATATGTTGTTTTTCTTTTACACCGCGATTATTTAAAGATGAATGCCAGTCACTGACCACAAACTACTAGGGACCTTCTTCTCCCTATTATACCACTGAGTATTTTTTTGAGGGGGGCTCTCTTTTTGAGACAGGGTCTCCCTGTAGCCCCAGCTGTCCTGGAACTCACCATGTAGACCAGGCTGGCCTTGAATTCACAGAGATCCGCCTGCCTCTGCCTCTCGGGTGCTGGGGTTAAAGGCGTGTGCCACCATGCCCGGCTACCAATGAGGATTTTTTAAAAATTGTAGTTATTTATTTTTATTTTGTGTGCTTGAATATTTTGCTTGTATTATTAAGTGCACTGAGCTTGCAGTGCCTGTGGAGGCCAGAAGAGGGTGTAAGATCCCCTGGAACTGGAGTTATGGGCTGTTGTTAGCCGCCATGTGGAAGTGGGGTCCTCTGAAAGAACAGCCAGTGCTTTTAACCGTTGAGGCATCTCTGCAGTCCCACCTGCGGATTTTGTTTCTCTTTTGTGATTACCATCATCACCTTTATCATCATCTTCTTCCTCATTGTCCTTTTGCGGTTCTTGGGATTGAATTCTGTGCCTCACAAATGCAAAGTTAATGTTGTAACACTGAGTATCTCCCCAGCCCAGTGTTTTTATTTTTAATGAGAAATCACATCCAGGCATCACTTATTGATCTCAAGGCAATGAGGCTCTTACGCCTCTTTCGTAATTGCTATCTATTTTTCATTTAATTTCAAGGTGTTAAGAACCATGATCACAAATAATATAGCTCAGTTGAAAACATAGGTACTTGGGAACAAAAGCAAAAATAGCATTTTTTATTTATTTTCTTCTACTCAGTCTTGGAAAATGCATGGCTGAATTGTAAAGATTTTGTCTTATATCTCAGTTTTCCTTTCTTCCCTCCCTCCCTCCCTCCCCCTCCCCCCCTCTTTCTTCCTTTCTTTCTTTCTTTCTTTCTTTCTTTCTTTCTTTCTTTCTTTCTTTCTTTCTTTCTTTCTTTCTTTCTTTCTTTCTTTCAAAAGACAACACAGACTGGGGAACACAGAGTTCAAGTGAAAGTTGAGCTCCAGCCCTTGCTGCTCAAATCTTCTAAACCTGATGATTTATTTGGTCTTTATAGTCCTTGATTCTGTCCTTGGTTACACTTTATTAAGAATAGTACTAGAGGGGCTGGAGAGATGGCTCAGTGGTTAAGTGCACTGACTGCTCTTGCAGAGGACCTGGGTTCGAGTCCCACCACACACATGGTAGCTAACAACCATCTGTAACTCCAGTTCCGGGGTAATCCAATGCCTTCTTCTGACCTCTGTGGGCATTGCATGATATAGGTACACTTACACATATGTAGGCAATACACTCATACACAGAAAAATAATAAATAAAATATTTTAAAAAATAGTACTAGAGGATCTGGAGAGGTGGCTCAGCAGTTAAGAGCACTGGCTGCCCTTACAGAGGACCTGGGTTCAATCCCAGCACCCACATGGTGGCTAACAACCATCTGTAACTCCAGTTCCAGGTGATCTGATGCTCTCTTCTGACTCCACGGGCATTACATGGTACAGGTGTAGTTATACACATGCAGGCAATACACTAATAGGTATAAAATAATATTTAAAAAAGAATAGTAATAGACCACATTATCTATAAAAGAGCTCACCAAATTTAGCAGAGGGTAATAGGGTGAGGTGCAGAGAGGGAAGCAGATCTAAACATTATCAAAACATATTGTATGAAAATCGCAAAACTTCAACAATAATGATGATTATGATGAATAGTACTTGCTTAATTGCATTATCATGAGAAGTGGGTGAGTAACTGATGCAGTCTCCTCATAAAAATTCATATGATGATATTTTATCAAAGCGTTGTTTGTTATCTTTATCTAAAAATATCTTTCCATAACATACAATCCTCACATACTCTGAGAGCCAAAACAGGAACAAAGACAGCAGCAGCAAACAAAAACAAGATGTGCGTCACTGCCATTCCTGAAAAGAGAAGAGAAGATTTTCGATTATGCTCAACTGCTAGAACAAAGTTTTCTCACAAACCTCGAACCACTTTTACATTTGTTTGTATTATTTGTATATAAAAAAAAGATCTACAAATAAAGTTCAACATCATATCTTGGATATGCAGATCCAGAAAGGAATGTAGAGCTGTGATTTGAAGGATAAGTGACTCACACAAAATTTAAACTTATTAATCCTCAAGTGCGATTATGTTCTATTGTGTGGCAAAAGGGAACTAAGTGCCTTGATGGAATTCAAGTTGCTAACCAACTGAAGTTAAAGTAGAGGGATTACCCTCTGTTTCCTTTATGGCATTAAATTATTCCCAAGACACTTAACTGCGAAAGAGGAAGTGAAGAGTCAACACCTCACCAGTAATGACTGGTTTGGAAGTTGGGAAAGGACCACATGGAGAGCTTACAGGAAAAGTCAAGGAAACAGATTTCTTCATAGAAATTTCTAAAGAGTTTTCCTTCTGCAAGCTTGATTTTATCTGAGTGAATCTCACTTGAGCTTCTGACCTCCAGAAGTATATGATAATATACCTGAGTTAAGGCTTTGGGTTTATGGGGCTGGAAAGGTGGTTCACTGCTTAACAGCATGCACAGTTCTTTCAGAGGGCCCAAGTGTGGTTCCCAGGGTGAACGTCTAGGGGGTTCAACATCTGAAATTCCAACTCCAAGGTGGGGTTGTCATGTCTCGTCTCTGCAGGCATCCACAGACATGTACATATTCACACGCATATTGAAATAGAAACAAATCATCTTAACTGGAATAAGGAGTAGCAGGAGGAAATGGATACAATAAAGAAGTAAGATTAGAATTGGTTTCTTTGACTACAGAGAAGAGAAGTGATCCCGTTGCCACTAATTTACATATATAATTTAAAGTTATTCTGTAAACGTCAATTGCTGTGATAAAATTGTTGTCATTATGTGCCAAATAAATCAGCATTAATGCCTTCTGTCTTTTATTCTTATTTCATGTAGCTAGTTAATTCTAAGATATTAGTAAGTATAAGCTTTTAAAATTGGGTGGCACTTTCTCAGAACAACCTATTAAGTTTGTTTCTGAACTGAACCAGTTCTACTCAGTGCAAAGCAGGAAAACCTACCAGGTATCTTTACAGAAGCCACTATTTTATTTATTTAATTTATTTATTTTTAAGTTTTTATTTATTATTTTTATTTTATGTGTGTAAGTGTATTGCCTGCATGTGTTTAAGTGAACCCATGTTGTACAATGCCCATGGAGGTCAGAACTGGAGTTACAGACAGTTGTTAACCACCATGTGGGTGCTGGGATTCAAACCCAGGTCTTCTGCAAGAGCCATCTCTCCAGCCCCAGAAATGACTATTTTAAAGGGTAACCTAATCAATTTGTGCCACATTAAAGGAGATCACTCCTGCTTTTACACCCAACCATGTGCCTTGCCATTCATTGTGCTCAGATGTCTTGTGCTCACTGAAAGTATGTTTAATTTGAGTGACACTTTAGAGAACAGTTATTTCAGGGAGCACAGAATGCAGATAATCTAACCTTCTTATACCCTTCCTCACTTTTTCCATTTCCACATACTCTCAACATTCAAATATTTATTGGGTTGAGACATAGACAATGAAAGATGTACTCGAATATCTCAATCAGTACAAAAATGTAATAAGGTAGAGCATTCCAACCCCAATGTAATGACAGAATATATAACATAAGGAGATTAAAAGTATAGTACGTTGGTGCATACACAAACTATCATAATATGATAATAATGTACACATTTCTATATACACATACATTATCTCTCGTATCTATTTTCTATTTATCTCTATCTACATATCACACACACGCAGATGTTCAAGTTAATCACCATGATGTATAGAATTTCCTTTTGCTGAATTTTCTGAGGGAAATATTCTGGAGAAATGTGTGTACATTTTTTTTGACTTTTTACATATTTCTTATGGGTTCGCTGAATGACATACCTTAACTATACCTCAGAAAATCTTCCATAAAAGGTTGAAGAGATAAAAAAAACTTCGTCTTATCACACTAGCCAAACAACTGGTATTGATAATTTGGATTTTGTCTTTCAAGTCCTTTTTACACCCTTATATAAAAATTCAGTACTGTTGCTGAACTTACATGGGAAGATATAATTTATGTAAATTCTCGTACCCTATTTTATTGCACTTTCTACTGCTACTACATGTTCAGCATGAGCAATAACTTGAAAATGTGAGTAACTTGACATTTCCTTGAGATTTTGGTTAAAGTTTTGATTTTGTACTGTAGTTAAGGCTATTACAAATATTTTGACAGAGTTCTCCCTGCAAAATTTAGTGTATTTTTGTGGATTTCACAACATTTAAGCTCAGAGATGAAAAATCTATTGACATTTTAAAATAGTTTTTTTTTCTGGAATTATATAAGTCTAACTTTGCATCTAAGTCCATCTGATATACTGCAGGTATATAATAAATATTTTAGAAAGGAATTTATTTTGTAAAGTCAAAATAATTAATTATTTCTGATATTAGGAAATAACTAATTTCTCATATGCCACCACACACTATCTCTTAATTCTTTATAATGTGGAACATCAGAACCATCATACTGATTCTGAAGTTAAAATGCAAGTGTTTTAATCCTAGGTTGTGGTCAGTTCTACTGTACCCTAAACTTCTAAGTTCTTTAAAAATGAGCTTCCTTCTGCTTAGAATGAAATCCAATAATTTGGGCAGAAAAATGCTACGCAAATTCCTAGAACTTCATGAGAAACCAACCCTTCACAGTGAATTGATGAAGTTCTTTAAAATTTTTTTTTATTATTTTAAATTACGTATATGTGTGTGTGTCTGTGTGTGTGCATGTGTATCACATGCATGCCATACCTACAGAGGTCAGAAGAGGGCAGCAGATCCCCTGGAGCTGGAGTTACAGGCAATTGTGAGCAGCTAGATGAGGGTGCTGAAAACTGAACTCAGGTCTTCTGCAGAGCCATCTCTCTATCCCCACACTTAAATCCATATTAGATTCTGTTTTCAGCTAAGATGGCAGAGTAGAGGCCATGTCATAATAATGAGTGGCTGATTTTAGTTAGGTTAAAAATAAAAGGAACATGAATATTGTATCACCCCATCAGTTATGGTTGTCCCTAAATTGACTAGGTAAATTTCCCAACAAACTTCTGCCATGGGACTGATGAATTTTCTCTGTATCATCAAGACTGGACTTGGTACTGTGACTGTAACCAATACAGTCTCAGATTTCAGGAGACTCTGGCAGGCTGAGCTAGAAGACCCCTACCATAAAATCTAGAAATGCTGTGCTGGTAGGAATATTTTTTTAATGTTTATGACTGCTATGTCTGCATGCATGTAAGTTCATATGTGTTGTGCAGAACCCGTGGAGCACAGAAGAGGGTACTGGATCCCCTGGAACTGGAGTCTGTTTTTAGCCACCATGTAGGTGCTTGGATTTGAACCCAGGTCCTCTGCAAGAGCAGCAGGTGCTCTTAACTGCTATCTCGCCCATCCTGTTGTAGGGATTTGATAGAAAGGTTTCTATCAAATGGTTTTTGTCTGGGCCACCATCAGCACCCCAGCTAAGAAAGGTGAAGCCGTAGGAGCTGAGCACAAGCTCTCAACAGCTTTTGGTATTGTATCCACCACTCTGGACCTAAGGGAACAAGGTGGCCAACAGAGCTGGCAGAATTTGCCCCCTCTATCCATAACTCACAAAATGGAGGAGAAAAAAAATCCACACATAAGGGGTGCTGAGAGTCCAGAAGCAAAGAATGCGACCAGTAAAAATCAGTTCAGAGTGGAGCCCAGACCAGAACCACGGATTGAAAGCCACAGATCTGCCACTCAAAAATAACATTCAGAGCGATGATTTAATTATGTTTTATCTCTACTGTTTCCCCTCTCCACACATGCACCCCACACAGCTATTTCTTAATGTAGAACAGTAGGTTAATGAAGCAAGCCAACACTGTCCCTACTGTGTGAAGCAGGCCAACACTGTCCTTACTGTGTTCCTTTTACTGTTTTGTGCTCTTTCTCAATTCTTCCTTTCCCCTTTCTTCCCTTCCTTTCTTTTCCCATTCCATTCCTCTCACTGTTAATTCTTCAAAATCCCAGAAGCTGACCTGGTTTATGGTATCTGGGTACATATCTTTTCCCCTCTTTTTAGTCTCATGTTAACCAAACCCCACACAGAGCCACACCATTTTCCCTTCGTCTCTGTTATTCCCACTCCCATGTATGTCTCTCTCTTCTACTTCCTATCTAGCAATCTAATAGTAATCACTAGTCTCACTGTAAAAGCTTCCTTCTTTTCTACCCATACCCCAAACAACTAACATAGTAGTATACACAGTACTAGTGAGGTCCCTTTACTCCTTAAACCAATTGATATGTAACCATTATCTGCGTTGGTCACCTGCTACCCTATTATAGTTAACTGCTGCATAGTGACTGTTGTTGCAACTAGTACTCCACCCAAAGGGGCATACTGGAGGTTGGACTTGGTGTCTAGAGCTCCATTATAGCAGATGGAAACATTACCACAACAGTTACAACCTAGTCTCTCCTGAATGCTGCAAATGCTTACACTGAAAGAAGAAAGGAAACCTGAAGTATAAGAACAATAATGAGAACAGTAACAAATGATCTAATTGCAGATGGGCAGATCCTAGTGCAGAATACTACAGTCTGCTCACTGTGTCTTAAAATGAGAATGTGAATACATATCATATTCTACAAAATGTCACAGTTACAACCTAGTCTCTCCTGAATGCTGCAAATGCTTACACTGAAAGAAGAAAGGAAACCTGAAGTATAAGAACAATAATGAGAACAGTAACAAATGATCTAATTGCAGATGGGCAGATCCTAGTGCAGAATACTACAGTCTGCTCACTGTGTCTTAAAATGAGAATGTGAATACATATCATATTCTACAAAATGTGTTTAATAAATA